AACGCGAGACAGGTGACAGGGCACCTGCGACGTGGCGGGGGCGTGGCTCCCTGCTGAGCTGGGGGCGGCCCAGGACCTTAGCAAGTCCCCCCCGCGGGACGAGCAGCGGGCAGTCCCGACCCGGGAGCGGTGCCCGCCGGTGGAGACCAGAAAGCTCTCCACGACCCCAGCTACGTGCCAAGTGGGGCGAAACCCTGGTTTTGGATAAACAACTGTTTCCTTTTCTTAAACCTTTGATTGCCTGGAGGAAGACGGCAGATGACCTTTCTACGGAAAACGGAGTCACCGGCCCTGCAGGTTCCAGACACGCTTGGAATGCGCAGAATTTGTTAATTAAAAAGGATCCCAGGTGGATCCTGCGTGCGGTGCGTGCGCCCCCCTCCCTCCCCCCACTTTCTTTTTCCGATGCACATTCGCGTGTTCATTCCTTGGGCCACGGACTTCAGGTCAGAAATTCATTGCTCGCTCGTTCGCTTTTTGAAGGTGGTGAGAAAGGTTATTTTTTGTTAAATGTTTGGACGCGCTGTTAAAGCTGTTAGGGAAGTGTCCCTTTCTCAGGACTTGTGCATAGTTCAGGGATAGTTTCTATGAATCTGTTCATCTGATGACGCCTTCCGTGGCGGTTCCTATCTGAACTTCTTTCAGAAGTTACTTTCTTGATAGTATTAGTGCACACCCGAGTTTTTATTTTTTTAAATCTCAAAATGGCAGGGTTCCTCTAAGCAGCAGCTCTCTTGAATAGAATGATGAGAATGTATTTGTGGTGACGGCGTTACACTCCAAGTAACTATGGTTGATCAAAGATAAGCAGGATCTTTTTTTGGATGAACTTTAAAATTTTAAATTGATCCTGTGTCCTGCCTCCATTTCTCCTGATGAATCCTACAACCTGTTTTTTTCCTCTTGTTTTATTCTGAAAATTTTCTTACATAAGAAAACTGTTGCAAGAATAGGAGCTTGAAGGGCAACTTGGATTCAACCATTAGTAACATTGTTTTCTTTCCTGATTTTCTAGTTTACAAGTTGGTGTCTACATTCTTTTGTTAACTGTGTTTTGGTGTGTGTTTTAATAGGTTATTATTTTTATATGTTTTTATTGATTTTAGAGAGGAAGGGAGAGGGGAGAGAGAAACATCAGTGATGAGAATCATTGATCAACTGCCTCCTGCACGCCCCTACTGGAGATCAAGCTCACAACCTGGGCATGTGCCCTGGCCGAGAATCGAACCCTGAGCTCCTGGTACATAGGTCAAGCTCAACCACTGAGCCACACCGGCTGGGCTTAAGAGATTATTTTTTTAGGGACCCAGCAAAACTGAGTGGAGAATACCGACTTCCCATATATGCTCTGTCCCCAAAGGCACAGCCCCCTTCTGTCAGCATCCCATTGGCTGCAGTCGGGACACGGCAGACCCTCATCCCAGGGCCCTCAGACTGCGTCCTACAGATTGCAACAAATGTACCATGAAATGTGTCCGAGATTATAGTGTCACCTTGTTCCACTGCCCTGAGAACCTCCTCCGTCCACTGATGCTCCCTCTCTGATCCCTGGTAACCACCGATCCATGTACTGTCTCCGTGGTCTTGCCTCTTCCGAAGTGTCACGGGTTTGGAATCTTGCAGTGGGCGGCCCTTTCGGACTGGCTGCTGTCACTTAGTCACCTGCTCTAAGTTTCCTCCACGTCTTTTCGGGGTTTGAGAGCTCATTTCTTTTTAGCTGAATAATATCCCATCACCTGGGGGACCGCGGTTTATCCATCCATCCCGTCAGGTCGCTTCCAGGCTTTCCCAGTTATGAGTGAAGCCGCTAGAAGCATCCGTATGCAGGTTTCGTACGGACATGAGTTTTTAACTTGGATGCATCCACACCGAGGAGCGTGCTTGCCGGGTCGGGTGGTGAGAGTGGGTGTAGCTGTGTGGGGCACCCCCACACTGACTTCCTCCGCGGCTGCCCCCCCCCCCCCCGTGTCCCCACCAGCAGTGCGTGCGGTTCCTGCCGCCCCGCGTCCTCCCCTTCCCCGCTCGGGGTGGTCGGTGCCTGGACTGTGGTCTCCAAAGGTGTGCAGGGCCTCCTTGCGGCTTTCGTTTGCGTGTCCCTGATGCCAGGGGACGTGGAGCATCTTTTCATGCGCTTCCCTCTTTGGTGGCGTGTCTGTTACGGCCTTTGGCCCATTTTTTATTAACCTATTTACTTTTGTTGTTGTGTTTTACGAGTTCTTTGTATGTTTTGAACAACAGTGCTTTATCTGACGTGTCTTTCCCAAATATTTCCTCCTGTGGCTTGTCTTTTTCATCTATTGACAGTGTCATTTTCAGAGAAGTTTCTAATGTTAATAACGTACAGGCTATCAATGATTTCTCTCATGGATTGTGTCTTTGTGCCTAGGAAATCGCCACCACCAAAGCCATGTGGATTTTCTCCTGTTGTCTTCTAGGAGTGAGATTCGACTGGGTGGTTTTTACATTACTTTATTAAGGGTCTCTGTAGTTTAATGTGTTGAAAAACTTTACTATAGAAAAACAGATATTTTTTTTTTTACTCTGAATTTAATTCCTTCTGGAGGATTGGTCTTTATCCCAAAGCCAGTTTCTGTTAGAATTAAACTAGACAATTCGTGACAAGTCTACCATAAAACTTCTGCCTACAGATTTTCATTTTAAAGTTGAAAGAAGTAGGAATCAGTGGTGAGAAGGGTGCACCGAATGTGTGCTTCTCCGTCTCGCCTCGCCTCCCAGCCCCAGGCCCAGGTGGTCAGCTGTGCCGCGGGGCACACTTTGTCTTATTCTGGAAAGTGTTTAGTTTGCACTCAGATCTGAGTGTTCAGCTTCCTTGAAAATCAGGTCACACAGCTATAATCTGCTGGGTTTTTTTAAAAAGAAAAAGTAGCTTAATGTGAGGTTCTAATAAGTTTGAAATGTGAGGCATGTGGAATCATTATTTGGATTAAGGAACACTTCATTGTTCCTAAAATATTTTTCACACTGAAAATAAATTTCTCTGGGCTTCTCCTTGAACTTTATTTAAAAGTGAATTTGTAATATATATATATATATATTTATTTCAGAGAGGAAGGAAGAGAGAGATAGAAACATCAGTGATGAGAGAGAATCATTGATAGGCTGCCTCCTGCACGCCCCCTACTGGGGATCAAGCCTGCACCCCAGGCATGTGCCCTTGACCGGAATCGAACCCGGGACCCTTCAGTCCACAGGTCGACGCTCTATCCACTGAGCCAAACCAGCTAGGGCTGTTGAGCTTTTTTAGGTTATGAATACACAGCTACTTTGCATTATAGTAAAATAGAGAGGTTTATAAGGTGAAGCACTCATTGCACTTGTTTAATAACAAAGACTAACACGGTTCAATGAGTCTAATGTTTATTATTTTTTAAAAGTCTGCATATTTGGCAGAAGAGCTCTGGATATTAAATGTTAGGTCTTACCTTCGTCCTTCTTTTCCGTGGGCAGCGTTGTTATGTTTTTTGTACAGCTACCATGAGACGTGCCTGCGTGTGTACACGTGAGTGTGTGTTTAAAACCACCCCTGTGCTCTCCCACTGCGCACACCTTGGAACCTGGTTCCCTCAGCAGCGTGGGTCACGGAGCCCGCAGTTCAGCTGCAGCTGGAGAAAGCGCACCCTCTAGGCCGGCGGTCGGTGCCAGCTGTCTCCTGGGGCCTCTCCCGGGCCTGCCTCTGCCGCAGGTTCCCCGGGGCCTCGGAGGGACCATGAGATGCCGGGCCGATGGGCGGCGGGGCCTGGGGGTGCGTGGGGACTTAGCCAGCAGCTACACTGACGCCTCTGAAACAAGCCTGGGAGAACTCTGAGCACCGGTTCATGTTACCATTTTAAGAGGCTCAGACATACTCAGTAGGCATCGCCCCTAAAACAGCCCAGGGAACGGTCACGTGTGCCTCAATCTGCTTTGGCGTCGGAAGGGCCCGGGGGGTGACCTTCCTGTGGGTGACAGGCTCAGCCTCGGGGCTCGGAGCGCGAGCGGCTGAGGTTCGAGAGCAGGGCGGCGCGCGTGGGGTCAGCTGGACCGTGGATGCTCCACCTGAGCTCAGAGAACAAGCCTTCGGAGGCCCGAACGGGGTGGGGTGCGGGGTGCGGGTTTTCACAGTAGAACAAGGACTTGAGCAACATTTAAACACTCGCCACTGCTTCTTCCCGCTGAGTCATGGGGCGGCCTTAGCGACAGGCGAAGAGCTTCTTCGCACACGTGTGCACGTGTGTGTATGTATGTGCACGTGTGTGTATGTATGCGCGCGTGTGTATGTATGTGTGTGCATGTGCGTGTGTGTGCATGTATGTGCGTGTGCGCGTGCACGCATGTGCGTGTGTGCATGTGTGTGTGTGTGTGTGTGTGCCGTGCAGTGCTCCCTCGTACGGACGCACAGACTTCAGGAAACTTCCCCGGTGGTGACCGTGAGCTGGGCAGTTCTGTCCCGTTACAGCTGCGGCCTAAGCCCTTGCCTGACCCTGAGCATCCGTTTCCGGAAGTGCAGCCACCGCGGCCAGTGGCCTGTTCCTGGGTAGCTGGCCGCCGTCTCAGTGGCCCCTGCGGGGGCCGTGCCGACAACCCCAGCAGCGTGGGAACGACACACGG